AAAAAAAAAAAAAAAAAAAAAAATGTGGCTAAACGGAACAGAGTCCAGAGGAGAGCGACAAAAATGCTCAGCGATCTAGAAACACAACAGGAGGAGGGGTAGGTGGGAAGACCAAGGTGAGGTTTGACAACCATCTTTAAATACAAAAAAGGGTTGTTACAATGAGGATGGCAATCAGTTGTTCCCTGTGTCCATGGGGGACCGGATAAGAATTAATTGGCTTCAATTGCAACAGGGAGATTCAGGTTGGATATTAGAAACAATTTCTAATCATGAAGATTGTTAATTACTGGAACCAACGGCCTAGGGAGGTTCTGCATTTCCATCACTGGAGGCTTTTAAGTGCAGGCTCGATGAGGACAGTTCAGACAGGGATGGCTGCCTTGAGCTCTGGACCAGCTGATCTCTCAATATCCCTCCCTACCCTCTTGTTCTGTGACTCTGTCTCTAAAACAGATTTCAAAGGCCTTTTTGCCCTGCTCCTCCTACAGTCCCTCGCACTGATACAAAGCAGGAGGAAAACTCAATGGCTCCACTTTGGCAGCACTTCTAAGTACTGTACGTGACTGGACAAAGTGCAGTTCAGTGGAGAGTTTGGCGTCCATTCTCTGTGTAATGCAAGCTGCACATAGCACATAGCTAGACTTCAGGGCTGATTTCTCTGAAATGCTAAGCACGGGTTTTTGATGGCTCTTCCAAGGCCTGAAGCAAGTGGAAAAGATAAAGCCCTTCCATTTGGAGTCTATACCTTTTTTCTGACATCTTCAGCTACATGTAACAGAAGGCAAAAATGGGGCTTATAGCAAGCGCTGCTCGGACCTACGGGCAGTCTTCGGTTACATGTCAGGCAAGGTAGCCAAGTGGTCGGCTGAAGGTCAGCAGAGCGAAAGGAGCCAAGGCCACATGCGAGTCTGAAGTAAGCAACACAACCTGCGTCTGATGTTACTCAAACCTTGGTCCAGTGGGGAGAAGTCCAAAACGGCCCTTTTGAAATTGCATTTTAACGAGCTGCTTTCCATTCAAAACCCACCTCCGGGGAGGTGGGAGGCAGAATAGGAGGGGAGTAGGGTGATGAAAGGATGAGAGAGACATGAAGGAAGCCAGGTGGTGACTCTTCTATCCTCCCCAACAGCCTTGGTCGCTGGGAGATGGTGGGGGGGTTAGCTCCCTGGTCACTGGGGGATGGTTTGTGGGGTAGAGTGAAAGCCAAGCACACGCAATCAAATCTTTCCAACCTGCCGTGCAGGATGTGGATGAACTGCTCTAGCACAGCAGTGCACAGGCAGGATGATGTGACAGCCTTTCAAGGGTCACCACAGCCACTTTCCAGCCTGGCCTTGCATGTGCTTCCTTGGACCCAGAGGCACACAGGGCAGTTCCACCAGCCATGGCGGCATGACAGCTTGGAGATACAGTAGATCTTATAGATTTTATAACAGGGCTTCTCAACTGGGGTGCTAGGAAAGTTAAGGAGGACGCTTCCAGTCTAAAAAGGTTAAGAAATACTGTGCTGTAGCAGCTATGTCCTTTCTCTGCACTTGCTATTCCATGTTAGGTGGTAAGCATGAATTTGCTGGCAGCCGATGGCTTCCTATGGGATGGTCATAGGGCCTCATTTATTTGAAGCAAGAAGTCCCCCTTTTCTGGAGCTTGCATGGAAATTAATTTCCTCTGCACTGCTGGATCTAGATTCATAGACTGTAAGGCCGGAAGGGACCTTGGAAGATCATTGGGTCCAGCCCCCTGCACCAAGCAGAAAAGGATATACCGAGATCCTTTCCTTCCTCTCTGGCTGTAGGCTTCCTGTGAGTCCAGAACCCCCAGGAAAGGGGTCCAAGGGGTGCAAGTAACGAGTTGCTGCTGGTGCAGTTCTGTTCCCAGCTTTGCTGTGGATACTGTGAATAAATCGATCTGTGCCTCAGTTTCCCCATTGTTCATAAAGGGGGAGGGAAGTGCTTTGAGATCCTCAAGTGAGAGGCACTATTTGCCTGTGCAAAGCATTGTCGACATCCAGAGTAGAGACAGGTCTAATCCCAGGGCATCCAGCAAGGATATCAAGTTAGAAGAACAGGGGGTATCAGGTTAGATGACGTGTAACTAGGGAAGGCTCCAGCCCCCATAAAGCTGGGGCATGCAGGAAGGCAGCGTCATCGCAGATAATCATGCCACCGATGCCCAGTGCCAAGATTAAATTTAGTCCTGAGGTGCTCAAAGAATAATAAATGGCTTTCAGAGTGTGAGACCCTCAGTCGGGACAGTGTCAGGGAGGGTCGCCTGATGGTACGGCCTTGTGCGTTGGTAACCTGCCAGCTGCTCGGCGTGAAGGTGCTCTGGAGATGCACCACATAGCTGGCAAGCTTCAAACCCACCTGTCTTTGTTGTGCTGCGGGATAGGGTTACGATCCTACTCAAGTGCCCGACCACTTCTAACTTGCAGCTGCTGAAGTGTCCTAAAGTATGTGAAATGTAAGCCTAGCTTGGGATGATGACTTCTCACCCCAGGGGTTCACCCGGTACCCTCCCCACAGAGGCCCAGATCGGGCTTGCATCATTTCCCTTCTCCCCCGTCTCAGAAGATGGAACCATTCTTCACACATATTCTTCCTCCCAAATGAAGGGTCTAATTATGCTTGTCAATTTGTGCAAAATGTTTTCAGTGTCCTTCAGCCAAAGCAAACAGGAGACATACATAGCTGACCTGTGATGCAATGACTGCACTGATTAGATGAGACCATCCACTTAATGAGCCCAGGTCAAATTCCCACTGTGATTCCTAACAAGTGGCAGTGACTTATGCATATGCATTTTTTTCACATTTTCCACCAGCAATGAATGCAGAGGGAGATCAGCTGTTAAAACTTCTCTCAGCCAAAGAGAAAGCCAGATTCTTTCAAAACTGAGGGCACAAAACCACAACGTGGTCTCTCTCTCTTCCTTTACCCAGTGGTGTAAATCAAGATTAACTTAATGCAACCAATAGAGTCCCAAGAAGATGAGAAATTATGTGTGTGCATTGCCATAGCACCCACAGGCCCTGAGATGAGCGAATCTCTTAGGTGCTCTGTATGTACCTAATAAGGGACCCCAAGGGGCAGACAGATGGGAAGGATTATTATCCTCCTATGATGGGAAATCTGAATCACAGATTTAGCGACTACCCCAGGGAGCAGGTGGAGTCAGCTTCACTGAGCCCTGGTCCGCTGGTATCCCTACATGGGCACATGGAAGCACACCTCTCTTCATTCACGTATAATTGCTAACCCAGCTGCCTAGAGACAGCAGTGGATCAGACAAAACCAGCAAATGCACAGCACCAGATCAGGTTATGGACCTAGTGGGAATGATTTAGTTAATGCTGCCCGGGTAAATGGGGTCCCACCAAACAACTGCACAGTTTAATGGACCCACTGTTTAAATGGTTTCACTATGAAACACTGCTCATAGGCTGTTTATAACAGCCCATAAAACAGAAGCAAGAGTCTTGTTGACTGATGATCCCTGCAGACAGTCTTCATGGACTTTGAGAAGAAGCATCTGACCAGAGCTGGAGGAAAGACAACACTGAAGAAAGGAAGTTTCTTTCTGCTACAACTTCAGGCTATGAAAAAGTCCCATCTTGAGTCTAACATGGTCTGATGAGACTTACCCAGCCCTGTACCTGCAGGTATGTCTCGTACCCTGTGGGCCTGATTGTCACTGCTGACAAACTCCAGCTCCCATTTAAGCCAATAGAATTGCAAATGCTTAGTAGATCTGGCTGTAAGCTTCTGAGCTGCTGGGAGAGTCATATGTTTTGCCTGTGATGAGTCTGAACTTCATTACTTCTGCAGCTAAGACTAAAGGCTTCTTTGGCAAGGACTGCACTGCCTTTGTTTCATGTTGTTTGGATGGGATCAGCTGGTAATAATCCAAACAGGCTAGGCTGAAAGGGGTGAGAGAGAGTGCCTTGCTTCTTATCGTGACTTGGATTGTTAGTCTCCAATCTTCACTGGCCTGTGGGTAACAATACTGAGCAGGTAACATCAGACTTTGTTCTCTCTCAGTCTGGAAGAACATGTACCTATAAAAAGCAAAATACCCCATGGCCAAAGGATCTTGTGGCCTGGGATCAATGCACTAGAGATCACTGATGTGGATCAGTTAGTCTCACAATTAGCCACTAGGGATGATGGTTTAATGGCAAAATTTGTGGAAGACTGTCTAAAATTTGAGGTTCCTAACCCATATAGCAGCTAGCCCCAAGGCTCCTTCAGTACTGCCCCAAAGTGACCAGATCTTAATAACTTCCCTGTCTGGACAACGGGCACATGGTATGATTAGCACAATCAATTGTTCAGTGGTTAAAGCATCAGCACTCATCTCAGGAAGCCTCAGTTCAAATGCTGTTTGAGGTCAGCTCCCAAGTGCCAGTCAATCATGTGGTTTCAGCTGAGTCCTCAGCAGACATCTGTCCAATGTATAAAACAGCTATACATTTTGGCACAATTGAGCACGACTGGCAAGCTCATGGGAGGCATAGAACAGAAATAGCAGGGAAAGCTGCAGGTCAGAGCTGTAGGGGGTCCCACAACAGGAACAGCAATGGGCTGCTACAGGTCAGGGTGGAAATGGGTTGCCAGAGGGAGTTGGAAAGGTTCAGAGTGATTCCCCACCCTGCCACTCCTCCCAGTGTGATAGATGCAGAATGACCTACGGTATGCATGCAGTACGTGATTTACATGAGCATCACTAGAACATAAGGAACTTCATCTCAGCTAATCAATCATTTACAAACCAGATCCCTGGAATGTGCTGGGATCGAGTAGATCCTTTATCCCCATGAATGCAGCAGCGCAGAAGGATTCGTGACCACTTGCTCACTTCAGTGCCAGCAAAACACCCCTCTTTAAAATAGAGCTGGATGCAAAATTGATTCTCGCACAGTGTGAATACGCTTAGCTTGCTGGGGGTGGTGGGGTGCACACACGTGTGTGTGTAAGAAGGCCAGCAGGTGGCAAAGACTCCAGGATTTGCTAAAGAAGATGCTCAATTTTCTCGGCAACTACAACACAAATTGCATTTCCCCTGCTGAGGTGTTCGAGAACTTGGTTCCAGAGAACAGCCTGCCCAAACCTAGCGTGGCTAGTTTGATCTCCAGCCACCTTTGACTTCCCAGACAACAGGGTCCCCATTTGCACCTGGGGAGCAGCCTTGGGGACAGGATCATAGCAAGGCTTGAACTCATCCCTCAAGTACCCTTGCAAGGTGCTTTAACTGAGCTCTGCTTTTTAGCCACTTGCTACAAACACCCATCAGGAAACAGTGCAGCAAAATGCTCTGCAAGTGTGCGGCACGGCTTCAACTTGTGCTCTGTGCTGACACCAGCTGTTCACCGCAGTCCTTACTGTCCTGCAGGCCAGCCCATAGCACCCCCAGCTTGTAACAAAAAAAACGAATCAGAAAAGGCCCCTTTGGGTGAAACTCCAGCCTCTTAGAAACTGGGAAGGGGACCTCCACCTCACCATTCCTCTTTTGGCCAGATTTCCTGAGTTGCTCAATGTAGTCTTTAATCCAAAGTTCTGGCTCACTTCTGTGCAAAACCCATATATCAAATGAACACGCAATTTACTGGAAGCTAAGCACTGTGGAGCTGCTATTCTGGCTCCAAAGGGATCAAGGTTGGTCAGATGCTATAAAAATCAGCCCTTGCACAGCAAAAGGAAGTCAAGATACTAAAAAGGTTCCAGGCTAAAAGGCAAGACGGGTCAATTCTGTTCCCACTGAGATAGTCTCCAACAACTATGAACATATTGGTTTTAAATGAGGTTTCCCCCTGTTCTGTGTTAACGAGTCCCTAAGCCAGTTACAAACAACTTATAATGGGTCAAGAGAGAAAAGTCTGAGGTTTGTGAGAGATGGGACTAAGTGAGAGACACGAAATGTTGATGACAGTCACTCCCCCAACAGTTCATATTTGTTACTTTGCTGACAATCCTAAATTGATGGATATGCACCGCAAATGGGCGTGAATTGAACCTCACAGGGTTTTGAATGGGAATGTTTAAGAAACTTGGCTGCGTATAAAAATGGCAAGTGTCATACGGACTCTGCCATTCAAAGACCCGGGAGAGAAAGCAGCATGAGAGAATTCAGGGGGAAAACCTCCCTTGGCTGCTAATATTGGGAGCAAGGAGCGGATCTGGGGTTTCAGTGCTTTTAATAGGCAGCCTTTCCTAGCTGGACCACAAGATGGAGCTGGGGGATTGGTTTGCTCCTGCATTGTGGCACACTGGGAAGGAGAGCGGTAGTTAGCAGCCAGGGAGAAGGCAAGGAAGAACTGCACCTTCTAGACTAAGTAAATTATAAACTAACAGCTAAACGGAGTTAGTCTGTCACGTATGGTGTCCCTAGCACAGCAGGGAAGACCAGTTCTGCTCCACTTCAGGTGGCATTACGCCTCAGCCCTGCAGCCAGTCCAGGGTACGTGACTGCCAGGTCTTTGCATCTCTCCCCAGCTTCTCCCACCGCTTGGACCGAGTCAAACCCATCACCAGGGACCCTGCTTTCCTCTGATTTAGGAAAAACACCCCAATTTTCATTTACTTTTTAAACTCCAAATCCACATTTTTCCATGATTAAAATGAAACACCACTATATCGATGTATTATATATAAAGAGATCTATCTAGCTATCTATTATCTCCTTGAGACGCCGCGTCCCCGGGCCGGTGTTGAGGGCAGCAAACAAACCCCGGGCCACCCTCAGGATGGACGGGGAAACTGAGGCACACAAGGCAGCGCCCCTCCCCCCGGGCTCCACCGCCCAACCGCGCTCTCGCAGGGCTCATCTAAGCCATGCCTACCTGGCCTCCCATTGGCTCCTGCTGTTTAGCCCCCTTCCACCGCGGCTGCCCGTTGGTTGCACCTCTCTCACGCCTTTTCGTCCTGCCTCCGCGTCCTTAGCCCCGTCCACCCTGGCTTCCCATTGGTTTCCGCGCAGCCTCCCGACTTCCTGCTTCCGCCGCAGCGGCCTTGTGGGATAGCGGCGGACTTTGCCGGGATCCAAGATGGCGGCGGCCGTGGTCGGAGTCTCCTTGAGGCGCCGCGTCCCCGGGCCGGTGCTGAGGGTGGCCGCGCTGCAGGTGGGGGGGGAAGCTGCGCCCGCCTGGCGTGTGACGGACCGCAGCGTGATCGCATCGTCGCTATCAGTCATAGTAGATGCTATATTATGATTAGATTATATGTATACACTATTATTATAGGATATGGTATTGTATATAATGACGCCGGGTTTGATACATAGCAATGTCCTGCATATAATATAGCGTAAGTGTAACATAATATAGTATAATACATATAATATATAGTGTAATATAAGTATCTATCTCATTATGTTATGTGCTGTGCATTGCTATATATTAACATTGCATGGTTATATAATATATATATATACACACACACACACACTTATGTGCAATGCAGTCATGTGTATGTACATATATAGGAGTGTAGTATGTAGTAATATTATATATGATGTATCATATAATATAATGTGCTATCAGTATGGTATAATGTGCTATTGATGTGATATAACATAATGCGCTATTAACGTGCTGTGATGATCCCTGGCAGAAGCCGTGCACCTGCTGTAGGAGAAGGCTGGGCTAGTCTGACAGGGATGGGGGATCCCTTCCTGCCCCCAGTGCAGGTGGGGCTGAGCCCAAGCAGACGGGCAGGACCCTCTGGGGTCGGCACAGCCCAGTCTCTATCCCCGGGCTGCAACCAGCACCTCTAGGGGAGGCTTAAATCCCCCCGACACTGGTAGCAGGAAGGTGGGTGAGTAGCAAAGTCTGGAAAACACCCCCTAGCAGAGCACAGGCGCTGTGGTGCCTAAATCATCCCTGACGAGGGTGCATCTGGCTTCTGCTTGACCCCCTTCGGTGATAGAGAGTGTAGTGTGCAGCTTCCCCAGGCGTCCATGCCACGGCCTCCTGGCTCTACCGGCGAAGGGGTTTGTCCCAGTCTTCAGCCTAAATGCACTTTGCTGCAGTGTCAAGCCATTGCTCCACATCCTCCTCTCTCTGGTGCTGAGTGCTGCTTTGGCAGCGCCGTCTCCAGGCCGGTTTGGTGCACGTGGAGCTGTGGGTGTGAGCCCACCGAGGAAAGTGCTCCATTAGTAGAGGGGGTTGCTCATTGTGCATCACCTGTGCTGTTCCCCCAGCATCAGCAGAAGACGGGGATGGGAGCGGGGGTTCATAACGAGTGCTGCAAAGGAGGGACACGGAGCAAAGCGTACCAGCTAGCGCCCACGGGCTGTCTGATGAATCCAGCAAGCCAGTGGATGCTGCCCAGAGACATGAGCAGAAGAGGGGTAGGAAGACAGCCCTACAGTTAGTGCGGTCATCCTGGCCAGGGCCTCCATCCTGGTCTGCCACATCCAGGCATGTACACACCATCTGTGTGTCAGACTGGTGCCGGCTGTGCACAGTCACTAGCCCCAGATCCAAGACAACTTTGGAGCCGCACCGAGTACGCAGCAACAAGCACACCTGCTGCGCAGCCCCCGAGAGCATCCAAGTACCCATCCAGCAGTACTCGGAGGTGGCTGCATCGCCTCCTTCCTGGGATGTGGATGGGGCCTGCGTCCTGGTGGTGGTGCTGCCAACCAGCTCTGAGAGGCTATTCTCTGATTTGGGTGCAGGTCTGCCGCGGGGCACAGACAGCAGCTGCTGCAGCTCCCGCTCCCCAGACAGAGCCACGGATCAAGAAATTTGCTATCTACAGATGGGATCCAGACAAGTATGAGGACAAGCCCCACATGCAGACCTATGAGATTGACTTGAATAAGTAAGTATGCACCTTGAAACTTGCACATACTTGGCACTTGCACTCAGCCAGAAGGCTGATCTGTGCAGGTTACATCCCCCCTCAGTTTTGGACCTGTGAAAAAGCATTTAAGCGTGTGGCTGTGGGCTTAAGTTAGACCTTCTCTAGCTGCTGTTTAGAAAACACTGTGACTAGTGCAGTATGATCGTGCCTCAATCGTGCTATAGTGCGATGTGGTTTTGCCAGCATAGATGAAACCAAATCTTTTATTTAGGCTTAACGACCCTTAGTACAGCCACCAAGTAGAGTTTCCTTAACTGGATGGTTACACTGGCCTTTCACGGTGCAAGCAGAATTGTCAGGGATGCAGATTCCAGCTCGGATGTCTCCCAGCACATTTAAAGTGCAGCTTTATCTCTCAGTGTCTGTAAGCTGGTGTCCCCAAGCTATGTTAGTGGCATGCATGTGCTCAAGAGTAGTGTGACACAGTAGTTATGTGTGCACTTAAATGGAGGTGCTACTAGGCTCATAGATTGAGAAGGCGATTCTGCAGAAATGATGGAAACTATATCAGTCCCTTCTACGACTGCATGCGTGCTTATGCTGCTTAATGATGCAATATGTAACTCTAGATATTGTGTAAATTCTTAGCTACTATTTGAGGTATGAGCAAGAGCATTTTTCCCCTCTGCAGTTAGCAAGAAGGGTACAGCCTTCCTCTGGGATATGGAAACCTTTGTACAGTTCCCCGTGCCTTTATTTTTTCATGGCTCGATCGCCACAGTGCTGTTTATGAAGGGAGTCACCTCAAGCTCATTTTGAAACTTCCGGCTAATGCAGAATGTAGCTTACTAAGCAGCAACTGATAGAGCAAAGTACGTTGCGCTGTGAAGTCAACAATATCTTCTAAGTTCTGGGTGGAGTTTCAGGTTTTGTTTTCTTATCTGTTACGTAAAACCTTGTCCAAGCTTCTCTATTCACATGTACAGTTCAAGCATGGTTGTGAATGAAGAGACAACCTTGCAGTGTCCTGGATTGACAGGGCTTGAGTGGTAAGGGAAATGTATGAGGCAAGGTTTTTTGTTTTGTTTTGTTTTTCCTGTGAGCTGTCTTATTGGACCAGCTGCATAGTTGGGGGAGAAGTTTGACCAGATTTTGGCAGCATGTGCCTGAAAAGGGCGCATCAAACTTTTCTCTGAGCTCTGCCAGTGGGCCAATAAAAATAAAGATCACAGAAGAAACCCTTGCTTCTAGTTTAAGAGGGAAAGAGTTTGTAGGCAGGTGTCTATGATGAAAAGTTCTCGCCCTGCAACTGTGTCAGATCTGCAAGGCAGAGTTGAGAAATTCATTCCCCCTTGCAGGGTGTCACTGAAGCATGGGGATAGTATGATTTTTATGATTAAATCAGGTGATGTGGGATTGGTTTAGATGGGCAAATTAATGTGCTTAGGATTTTTTATTTTTAGTAAATTTATTAGAAATGTTTTAATACAAATGTGGATTAAAAATTCAGTTCATGTAGCACTTTTGTTCATTTTGTTGCTAGAGAACACAGCATAGGTCCAGAGCTGAAAGGGTGTTGCAAACAAGGCAGTCAATCGCCGTTCATGGTAGATCTTCAGTAGGGACAGTGGGAGTTGGTGTGAACAAAAAGTTCAGCTTCCATAAATCTGGGATGGCTTCACAAATACGTGAAGGGATTGGAGAGGAAATAGTAGGGCTGAGAGAGAGAGGTGTTTTCAAAGACCTGTTTTCTATTATAGGTGTGGGCCTATGGTGCTTGATGCTCTGATCAAGATAAAAAATGAGATGGATGCCACCTTGACCTTCCGTAGGTCATGTAGGGAAGGTAAGGCATGCTCCTTTTTTCCCTCTATCTGCTGTGTTGAGGATGATTCAATGCACTGTGTTCTCACAAGATACTTGTCCAAACAAAGGTGACTGCCAAGAGCAAAAGTAAAACACAGCACACTTGACCTGTCTTTGATTCAAGTGCTAGATTCAGATCATTTGTTAATGGATCAAAATGGTCATATGATCCATGTTGTCTGGGCACGTCGGACAAATTGTGGCCCTTGAATTCATTTTGATTGATTGGAAAGGTTGGAGAAGTTGTCAGAAATTGACTGGACAAAATGATGGCATTAGGGAATATCAATGGTTGTGGTGATGGTAGGATTCACTTCTGGTATGTGCTAGTAACAGTCCCATTATGTGGGGTATCCTGAAGTATAAGGGTTTGCAGGGAGCTCTTACCGCTTCAAATCTGGAAAGATCAATTGTAAGAGACTTTCTGTAACAAGTAATTAATTGCGGAGGACTTGCAAATACTTACGTTCAGGTATTGCAGAGCATTTGATATATTTTTAAGGCCAGAAGGGACCATTGCAATCATCATCTAGTCTGTGGTCTACATTACACTGAAAAAAAAAATCAGAATGTCCATGAATTAATTCCCTCATCAAATGCAATAGCTGTAACTGAAATAGATGATTTTGAAAAAAGAAATGCTGTTTCAGTTTCTAGTGATGAAGGATTTACTGCAGCCTTTGGTAAACTGCTCAAATGGTTAGTTTTCTTGCTGTATTCTAGTATTATTACAACTTACTAAATGGAAGAGCTTCCTATTAAATTGCTTTTTGCCCTGCAGATACTTAAAAGGTCACCTGATCACACTATAACCTTACCTCTGATAAGGTAGATAATTGGAGTCCTTAAGACACACTTTCCAATCTTCTCTTCATTCTCATGGCTGCTCTTTGAACCATCTTTAATTTAGTATTACCTGCCTTGAATTGTGGATGCCAGAACTGGACACATTTTTCCAGTAGCAGTCACAGCAGAAGCATACACAGATAACAGAGCCTCTCTACTCTTACTTGATATTTCCTATCCATATAGCCAAGACTTGTATTGGCATTTTCAGCTCGTGTCTAAGGATATAGGCAGACATGGTTCTTTGAGTAAATGTTATTATCTTTTATTAGACCAACTAAACAGTTGGAAAATTGTTCTGAATACACTCTTTCAAGCTGAGGCTGTGTAATTTTTATATAACAGCTTCTGTATCTTCAGTTCCTCTATACATCCTCGTTTCACTTGCTTTTTTGAGCAATGACAGCCACTGTGCAGAAACTTCCCTGAGCTATTGATAGTGACTCCCAGGTCTTTCCTGAATAACAGCAACTTGACAGTGTACACGAGGAGTTTAGATCACTTGCTTCTAACATTTGTCAGCACTAAACTTACCAGCCACTGTGCCACAGAGGAAATGTTTAGCCCTCGGTTTCTTTGCTCTCTAATTATTAAGTGATGATGGTTCTGGTTGGCTGGGTAGCAGCTATTGGGGAGATTGAGTGATTTCTGTTTTATCTTCTGCTGGGATAATGGCAGCAACCATAGTCTTAGTGATGATATAATGGAAGCCAGTTGGGGGTGATGATTTAGGACAAAGAAAACTACTGCAAGTGAAGCACCTGATCTCCCTTCTCTCCCTCACAGGTATCTGTGGCTCGTGTGCTATGAACATCAGTGGTGGCAACACCTTGGCCTGTACTAAAAGAATCGACACCAACCTTGACAAAGTCACTAAAATCTACCCTCTGCCCCACATGTACGTGGTGAAGGATCTTGTTCCAGTGAGTTCTGCGTATGTTCTGATTTGTGTAATGAAAGCTGACTGTGTAGCAGTCTGATTTTTGTAGTGAGGGAGGATCATCCCAAAATTTATACGTCCTTGTACATAATGGTTTTCTAAGAACATCTGACAGTGATGTGTATTGAGATGGAGTAATGTGAGTAACTAATTCCCAATTCTTCTGGCTTCATAGCCAGTGGTTAACCTGTGGGTGTTAGAGAAGAAGTTGGTATACAAAATTGACATTTCTGCCTGACTCTTGTGACATAATGTTAGATCTCGCACAAGCACAAGCCACAATAAATAATGAATATGCCAATTCTTCTGTTTTTAAAAAAACACAGGACTTGAGCAACTTCTATGCACAGTACAAATCCATTGAGCCTTACCTGAAGAAGAAGGATGAATCCCAGCAGGGTAAAGAGCAGTACTTGCAGTCCATAGAAGATCGCCAGAAACTGGTTATTACTCCTTTTTTTCTTATATTCCTTTAATTCTTTCCAAATGAGAATTAGGTTAGCTATTTTAATAGATGGTGGTCATCCTCAAGTAAGACCAGTTCTTTTAGAGCAGCGGTTCCCAATCTGTGGTATGGGTACCACCGGTGATGTACAGATAACCTGTCAGTGGTACGTGTTAACAGATTTATTATAATTACTTTATATGATAAAAATTTGTTGGTGGTACTGAAGGTTGTATCCTTTTAAATTGGTGGTGTGCAGTCTGTCAGAGTTTAGTTCAGGTTGGAGTGTAAAATCATCTCCACACCTTTTGCTGGGATCTTGTTTTCAAAGAAACCTTATGCTGTGGGATCTTCTCCCTGGAAGATAGTACAATGTTCTTTTTTGGGGTTATCTGCCCTGGGATTTTGCATGATGTTAGGACGCAACCTTTAGGAGTCGTGTTCAATAATGCGATGTAAAAGGCAGCGTAGGTGAGGCACTCATGTCATTTGCCTATACTGAGGCTTCCCCCCTCACTTCCAAAGAAGCATGAGAGCACTTTCATTCATTATGTGAAAACAAGGCACTCCAGTTCCTATCTGACACAGGTTGGCAAAGTTACCACTATATTCCCCAACCTTGGGAACAGACAAGGTAAAACCATTGTGGTAGACTGCAGTTTGTCTCCACTAGAATTTTAAAGCAAGCTAGCAAAACATTTAAACTACACTTTTTTTGCAGTTAAAATAGCCGTGGTATTGACTTGCATTTAAACTTGTTCCTGACCATAAATCCCTTGAGCCCTTGCCTCTAACTTGGTTTCCAGGATGATGTCAGTCTTTTGGAAGCTAATCTTTTTTTCAAAACTAGAGGAGAGGGTTGGTATTTGAAGACCCATTCAAGTATTTATAGAGTGGCTTATGTTGCCAGCATATTTCTATGTGCATTTCCCTTGTGGCTACTTTTGCATATTTCTATGTGCATTTCCCCTGTATATTTACTTTTTCCCCTTCTTTCCCCTCTTTTGATGGATTTTGAAGTCAAAGTAAAATTCTGTATAGGAATATTTGCAACAGCCATTGCTGCGGACTGAATTCTTTAAGCAGTGAAAGACTTTGGTTCAAAATGTAAATACTCTTTTTTTTCAAGGTGAACTACCAAGACCTTACTAAAAACGTGTGAGAAGGAACAAGATCTAACTTTGTAAAAGAATAGCTGCAAAACTTTTTTACTGTGCATCTCAGTGTTTTTTTAAATGAAGCCATCATATGATTACTAATAATGTCAGTGATAGCATGAAAATACCATGACTCTTTTTTTTTTTTTTTTTTTTAGCAAAACCTAGAATTGTCCTGCTTTTGAGAACTTCCCATCCAGCGGTTTAAGACTGGATTTAAAACTGGAAAGGATACAACGGAACTAATTGTATGATGACCAAGTGGAACACACTTTTTTCAGCTGTGTGTTCAAAAAAAACTGTTAGCAGCTTTCTTTTCTAAACTGAAAACTTCATTTCCAGTGCTATGCCAGAATTTGATTCTCACTTCCAGTATTTGTGGTCTACTGTGTCTTCAAGATTTCTTATTTTGCATTATGCAAAATAAATACAAATTAAAAGTCACTAGACCTAACTTTATGCAGAAGCACAAAGGAAACCTATTTTCTTCTAATCAGTCATTTCTAACTAATTGCTGGTAATTGATAAAAATTATGGAGCAAGAAGTTTTAACTTCAGCTTGATCTGTATACTGTTTAAGTCACCTTCTGGAAACTAAAGATTCAATTATTTGAAAAAATATAGTTTCAGGTGTCTTGTATCCTTGTAAAAACCCATCTCTTCCTGCAGACTGATCTTTGACAATTTTTGCCTGATTATTGTAGTTCAGAACCCTTAGATGTGCAATCCACTACAAGTGGGTTTATTCCTTTCAGAGGAAACCTGGGTTTAATGAAGTCTTGAAGCAATACTCAGAAATGTAGTTTAAATAAAGTGGGGCAGCATCCTTTCACTTAGGGTCTGGGGAACACTATTTTAAGTAACAGTAATTTTTTTTCCTCTTGTCTTTCCTATCGGAGAATGTTATCTGACTTCTGTTTCTTGAGAGCTCCACTGTGCAATAATGGAGTGTGGAGTTTCTATATAGTTGTACCTTCTAGTGGTGCATATTGTCCTAGAAGCCAAAAACCTTGCTGGACAGTACTTCCCCTTCTCTTCCCAAGTCCCTGGTTAAGAGACCCCAAGTACTGTGATCAGCATGGAGATAACTGAATCGTACCTGTTCATACAGCTTGCCAAACTTGTGATGCTCCAGAAAATCGTTAAAAGATCTGACTTAAGTGCTTTTGTACAAAAGCACTCCTATATTGTGGGTGGCAAGGGAGGGCAGGGCTGGTATGATTCCTTTGCGTTTGCACACTCTTCCTTAACTGCTTGTGGGATTCATCCTATCGCATGCTAAAGTATCAGTACTTCTATTCTCTGCTGGCAGCCACCACTAATTCCTTTTCCTTGGTAACATTGCCTGGAGCTGTGGTTCAAATTCTGCACCCTTTCCTTTCCTTGAAAGCTTATTGGAGCCTACCAGAGACTAGCTGCTTGAGGGGAAATGAACGTGGCTTTCTCTTGCACGTCCCCTTCTCCACTAGCGTAATTGTTTCCACTCTCAGCAACAAATCTGTCTTCAGTGCTGGAAATGGAGGATCCTAGTGTCCTGCTTCAGAGGACCAGCTGACAAGAACTGTCCTTTGCAAGCACGTGAGAACTTGCACATGAGTTGAGGAAGGCAAATCACCTGTCAGAACAGTTGGTTCCTAGGTGGTCTTGCACTGCTGACTGTCTCCTCCTCCCCTTCCCTGCAGGATGGGCTGTATGAGTGCATTCTGTGCGCCTGCTGCAGTACCAGCTGTCCCAGTTACTGGTGGAACGGAGACAAATACCTGGGCCCTGCAGTACTGATGCAGGTAAGAGGTGCTGATTGTTTAGTGATGGGCAGAGAGCGAGCTTGATGGGTAGGACTGTTTTTTCTGGCTCTTCCTCCTTTCTGCAAAGGTAGTAGAAATGCCTAGCTTGCCTCCTCTTTAATCCCTTTGACAGGGGACATGTTTACCACAACAAAGGGATCTTAGCATGTGGCATCAGATATGTTAAAGAATAATTGTGAGAGCTCCCTGTGAAAGTGCTCCTCATTTCAGTCCTGCTTTGTTCACCACTTGTGATTTGGTTATCCACTCCTTGATTCGGGTCTGTTCTGCCTCCTGCCTCCTTGGGTTGTGCTGACAGCACCAAGGATCCTGGGGTGTTCTCCCCACCAAGCACTAGTCAGGCCCAGGACTGCTTCGCTTCTGAGATGACAGATGGGTGCATTTGGTTCAGTGCCACCTTCACCTGATAACTTATATTAAACTGTATTTAATGTAGACAGATGGGTACTATAAAAGGCCCTGAAATACTACTTGGGTGTCAAATCCTGAGATAAGCTGACACAAATTCAAACAGGTCTTCTGGATTATAACCACATTTACTTTGGCTAGTCTTTACTGTCCTATAGAAGGTCTTGTTCCTGGCCTGTCCCTTTTCAACCCCCCAAAAGTGTCCTGACACCACAGTATGACTAGCTCTAAGACAGCCCTTGTTAGGAAACCTGGAGTGAGAGACTGAGCCCTCTTGTATTCCAGTGTCGGGACAGAAACAATTCTAGTAGCGATGGGCATCTCTCTCACTTTTTCTCCTTGCAGTTCCTTGCCTAAAGTGTAAGTGCATCTCACTGAGCTATGATGAAAACCAGATTTTAAAGTGTCTTGAAATGGCCCAATTTTCAAGCATTAAGTGGCTTTTAGTACATCCTGTCCATCATGCTACATTACAGAGCATATTCCACAAATGGAGAGAGCAAATTCATCACTGTTCAAGTGATGACAGGTCATATTAAGTATTGCAGTGTCTCCAAGTGTGTGTGTGATTTATATAATTGCGTTTAGTCACAAATCACATCCTTGATTCTCCTGCCTTCTAAAGAGAACAGCAAATGATCTGAACAATACTGCATGCTAATGGCAATGGGTTAGATTCTGTACTGAAAGCCCTAAATTAAATCCTGCTTTTGATATGGGACTCTAATTACTTTGGACATAGGAAAGGCAGTGTACAGTAACGATGCTCTGGGTTTCAGGCATATCGGTGGATGATTGATTCCAGAGACGACTACAGAGAAGAGCGGCTGGCACAGCTTCAGAACCCATTTTCCCTCTACCGCTGCCATACGATCATGAACTGCACAAAGGCCTGCCCCAAGGTGCGTTCCCCCCCAACCCTTGCTAGGGCAACTAGAAAGCATGTGCAGACCATGTGAGCTGTGGGGTGAGGAGGAAGAAGTACCTCTGGGTTTTTAGGCAATTAGAGTGAGCACAGTCCCTTCTGACTTTGCCCTGGCCTCTGAAGTGCACTGAGCACTCAGCAGCTATGCTTGTTTGGAGATCAGCAGTGCCTGCCACATGACAGACAGCACACAGAAGCCCGTTGTTTGTGCTAAAGATTAACGACTTCTTTCCTTACGAATGAGGATCATGGGTGAGTTGTTTGGGGTCCTGTTGTAGAGGCTTCCAAACTGAGGTCTGTGGCCCATTGACTGGTATAGGAGCCAGAGAGTCTCTTGGTCAGCGTGACTGTGGAAATCCGGGGGGGGCGGGATTTTTTTCCCTCCCCCTAAACCACCCCTAACAAAGGAGCTAATTAATCCTCCCTCTGACCCCAAAAGGGGGTGTGTATTAGCCTTAGGAAGGCTGCCTACACACCCTTTTATCCCAGCAGAAATAGTCTCTATCTGGGAGACAGGGCTGTAGTGCATTTGCACAATGGGGGTAGGGATAGCCAGTTTCAGAAAGCTCTGAATCAAGGTTTTTAAAAGACCAAGCAATATCTTTTACCTGCACAACAAAGTAACTATGCATATTGCTGAAGCACTTGACAGTACATGTGAGAGAAGAGACTAGGGAGTTGGCTGCACTTGGTAAACGGTGCGCTGGGATCCTCTTACAAGTGTCGCTGTTGTTTCATTTTGTTAATATCCAACTGGATAAGACATTGAGTGGAATTTTCCATATTTAACTCTGCATAAAGTCTCCGTGCTGCAGTGACCCAGCTGGCTTGTATGGCAGACATTACAGCCAAGCAGCTTTGCTGGGCCTGCAAGCATCAGCATTCTCTTAACTGGACCTGGCTTACACCTGGAAGGGCATGAAATTCCCTCCTGGCTTTTGCAAATAGCAAAAGCTACTTATAAGCAGCTGCTGTACAACTGAAAGCCCCTTGCCCAGGTTGAGTGAAGCAGGTGCCTGAACTGATAGCTCATGACTCTTGGAAAACAAGATGCTTGGGGGTCGCTGTCCTGCTCTGCGTGTCTCCTTCACTAAAACTGAATGCAGCTGTAAATATTACGTGATTCAGAATTGCATTTATGAAGGCTTTACTGGAGTATAAGTGTTTGCATACATAGGGAGGCAGGTCTTCAGGTGTTGTAAATTGATGTGCTGCTTCAGCTAGTATAAACAGCTGTGGTTTCATCGACTTCCATACAACTAGCTTACAATATATATAAACAGCATGAATGTCATAATGAAATAATGCATCAAGGCTTTGCCTTCATAATGGATGCATGTGATGTTAGCTAATAACTACTGTGTTTCAACCAATACACTCTTATTGTTCGGGCTCCCTTAGAATCACAGAAAATGAGGGTGGGAAGGGACCTCAGGAGGTCACGTCTACCCTGCTCAAAGCGGGACCAGCCCCAACTGCATCATCCCAGCCAAAGCTTTGTCTAGCCAGGTCTTAAAAACCTCCAAGGATGGAGACTCTACCAACTGTCTAAATAACTCTTGATCATCTCTGAAGGCTGCACATGAGCTGTCTGACACAATAATTTCCCATTGCAGTCTCTCTCACGGACCTGCTTCTCTCATCCCAAAAAAAAAAGCAGACTGCTTGTTATTTCCCCCTCATTTTGAGGTCAAGCATTCACTCAGGCCTGAGTGAGCAAATTAGGCATATCTGCAGAAGGACCCATAGCAGCAGGGGTGTGGTGGCTGTAAAACCCAACAGAAACCTCTTTTGGAGAAGCAGAATGAATTCTATGCTAGAAGTGTTGTATGGTGGTCTGGCTGCTTTGCCTTTAGAGCCCCACTCCTTGATATTTTTTTTTTTCTCCTGGCATTAAGTAGAACGCAAGACTTTACATCTGGACAGCTGTGAAATCTGGACACAGCCATCTTGTTAAACTGTTCCATGCTTCTCAGTGCCCCGATGGGGATTGAGTACAGTTATGTGCTCAGTTGACTAAAGGCTTTCTCTCCAAGCAAGTAGGTGTTCTCATCAGTTGCTTCAGTGGCTGCTTAAGATGGGTCTTGCTCTATTTTAGCCAAATGGCAAGAGTTGGTGCCAACAGATCTCAGACCAGGACCAGGGCCTTATTGGGGATCAGCATTTCAAACCCCACCGCTGAATGGAGTGGTGCTGGAAATATGTCTGTTCCCACGCAGGCTAACACAGCCCTCTCTGACCCCAGCTTGGCTTCTCTCCCCCACGTGACCCAACCCTCCACCTCGAAAGTTGCAAATTCAGTGCACCCCAAGCTTCATCTTCTCACATTCTGGCAGCATCCAATCCTCTGCCAGCCAGTCTTGTCCATAACTCAGCTGTTCCTCTGTATATACACCATTATTTTAAATATTGGAAGTGGGGCTCTATGCTGGGCTCACAGGTGGGCACCCACTTTCTTTCCAAATGGGCAGCAAATGTTGCAGCAAACACTGCCAGCTGACCTCATAGGGACCCCCTGTAACCAGTAGCTTGCTGCACCTGCCCTGGCCCTGCTCAGTATGAGGATATAAAGGCTGTGGTAATTTAATTTTCACTGGCAACTCACTGATCTCTCTCTCTCTCTCTCTCTCCCTCGTAGGGTTTGAACCCTGGAAAAGCAATTGCTGAGATCAAGAAAATGATGTAAACTTAAAAATAGAAGGCAGCAAGTGCACTATGCCATTGCCCAGTCAGGGCTCTGACACGCACATACCATACCGAAGTGTAATTTGTATCTGAAATCAGAGGACACGGTTCCCACAGGGCTTGTTTTTTTCACTGCTGTGCATGTACAATAAATGTTATTAAGAACAAGCCACTGGTGCCTGCTTTCATTAACAGAACTGAACTAACTTTCCCTTCTTCCCTTCTGTCTCTTGGCTGAACAGGTAAATTCCAACTGGAATCTGAAGCCAGTTGTTTTTGGTGTGTGCAGCTTACAGAAGCACTAGAGTTAGACTTTGCTCCCACATTTTGCCCACCCGGTGCCAGAAGCTGTCGGTTCTAGCCTGACACCAAAGCAGAAATAGTTCAAAGATGCAATTAATCTAATAACATTCATTTTGGTAATAAAACCACTGCTTGGGTTAAAGGCGAGGTGCAGATCTTCAGGGAGGGGGTGTGTGTGTGTGAACAGAAATGAAGTATGTGAAGATTCACCAGCCTAGAGACTTCTTAGGTCCGGGGGAAGACTCTTCACTGATTTCAGTAACTAGGTTAAACCTGGGGTGCCCGATGCAAGCACAGGAAAGGAGTGGAAGCACAGGAAGTAAACACCATTTCCCTTTAAACATGCACGCGGCGTGCTTGTTTAAACATGTTGCAGCACATTGCCAAAGAAAAGAGGCAGCAGGGAGGGGACTTTTAACACATCACTGCCCATATATGAAACAGTCATTTCTTGTTAAATCTCTGAAGTATGTACGCTATAATATGAATTACCTGTTTCCTCCAGTCTAGTCCAAGCTGATTTTGTGCCCCAACAGGCTTACTGAAATATAGTGCCATCAACATAGGGTGCCGGGATGTCATTCAGACCGGTGCAGGAAGAGGTTTGCTTGCTGCTGTTCTGCTAAGAGGGACATCTTGAATACGCTGGATTCAGCCCCATTTGGGTGGTGTAGCCTATAATCCTCAGTTTGTTCAACCTCACTGCAGACCATACTTTAAAAGATGAACAGATAACAGTAAAATATATATATATGTTGACTTCCTGAATTCAAGCAGGTGATTGTGAAATGGCAGCAATGGTGAAATAAAGATAACTGAAAGAACCAACTGCAGGGTTTCTGTTTTGCTGTGCGGTGGATTGGACCTATAATGCAGTTAAATGTCATAGGAGGCAAGGACTTCGAATTTGCTGTGCATCCAGCTCAGCATGGCCCATGAGAGATTGCACAAGGATTTATTGCTCTCCTGGAACGCACTGAGCCCCAGAAGCATTCTGGGAACCAACAGAGGTGCAAAGAGCCTGTTCTGCCAAAGCTCCTTATATAGATCTAAATTTTAATAGCAAATGACATCCAGCTGTGATGCAAATGACCAAGCAGTATAGGTAAGACAGCTCAAGCGCCATAATTGTACTGGTATTTGGAAGGAAGTAATCTTAAACTCTCTAAGCCCTAAAGCCGTGCTTCTCAACCTGGGTGCCATCGCTTGAAGGATGGCACATGATGTTGCATAGATTTCATAGACATTAGGGCTGGAAGGGACCTCAGATGATCATAAAGTCCAGCCCCCCTGCCTAAAGGGCAGGAAGTCAGCTGGGGTCATAGGATCCCAGCAAGATAAAAAGATGTTAGTTTAGCACAGTTAAGCTGACAAACACAGTTCACCAGATAAACCCAGAAACTTCAAATAGAGATTCATAGGTGGGCTCTGAGTTATTTGCAACAGAAAAACTGCTGTATTATTTATTTTCTGTATTCAAAGAGTGAAAACAGCTGGCATTTTCCCAAGGGGCCGGAAAAGATCTCGCGGCACCCCAGGGCGCAGCAGCCCCCCGACTTGGGCATCTCTGCCTCACACCAACAAGGTGCCTTGAGATCCTTTCAGGGAGGCCGTGCACCACGAGGTGTTGAAACACGATTAACTCGGCTAACCTAGAGATTTCAACAGCAATCCACCGTGTCCAAATCACACCGACCTGCTGGAGTTTTTCCAGGTCCTCGGTGGCAATTGCTTTGCTGTTTTCCTACCGTCAAAAATAGAGCGCAAAGCAAGAGCCACCACTTTCTGAGGGGACCTCGAGTGTGGAAAAGGCAGCGAACAGCAGTGCTGCTCAATCAAAGCCTTTCAAGGGTGATGCTGGGGGTCACCCAGGGTTTGCACTGCTAGGATTCACAAGACAGGCCCAAGGTTTTTCCCCTGCGCAGCTGCACGGTATCAGAGAAAATTGGGGTTGGAAGGGTGCTCAGGAAGCAGGACCAGCCCTAGCTACGTTATCCCAGCCAAGCCTTTTTTGTTCTTGTCTTTCATGGAAAATGTTTCACATCCCAAATCGCATCAGCTAAATCAATTCCAAATCCCCGTGAATCATTCGCAGGCGGCTCTGCCAGCATCCTCTGCCTCCCAGCCAAGGCTTTGTTGAGCCAGGCTTCAAAACCTCCAAGGATGGAGAGTCCACCGCCTCTCCGGGGAGCCTGTCCCGGCGCTTCACCACCCTCCTAGGGAGAGTTTCTCCTAACATCCAACCTCAACCTCCCTTCTTGCAACTGGAGCCCATGGGGCTTGCAGACAGGATTTGCAAGGCAGTAGGGGGAACGGAAATCAAAAAGCAACCCCGACGCTTTGCTGTCCGTGCAGGGCAGAGGGGGGGTAGGCGCCTGCTCCTAGAGATGCTCCGGCCCCTGCAGGGCGCTGCCCGGGCGGGCGGGGAAGGGGGGAGGGA